AGGACCACGTATTCCTGTATGTATTTTGGCGCACACACCCGTACTTGCACAAATGTACGCTTTCATGCCGACCAGCCGGTGCTTAAGCAAAACACGTCCCTTTTACCAATAACATGAACATTGTCGAAAACAGAGCAAGAGAGAGGTGACCTAAAACTCAGGGAAGCAATGTTATTGTGTTGAAGTAATCTAATTCAAAATGATTCCGACCGAGTCATAATCCCGTAGTCTAGATTCTGACGCAACGAGCACGCAAAACTTAGTTGTGCTCTATCGAGAAAACATCTGATCAGCTAACGTGATGTGGACAAGTGTGTTGTATGCTTGCGTTCCATTTGTGAGGTCCCGAGGTTGTAATCTTCAAACAAACTCGGATTTTCATCAAGATTAAGTTGGGTGTAAACAGCTGTTTATTGTTTCCCAACTTTTCATTTCACTTTTCCTTTGCTCCTCTGCATACGGTAAAGTTTATCATGAAACCGGATTGATTATTCCTCCTGCTTCCTCTCGATTATAGAAGCTCCAGACAAGTTATACCACAAGCACAAACAAAAACTCCAAGCTGAGATACTGATCGGTAGCACGCATTATCTAGCGAGGCTCTGTTTGGTTTGTCACTCCGTTTTTCGGGGTTGGTTTCCCGGTTCCCTTATTTGTGGGGTTTACCATTTCGTTTGTTTCATCCTACGTCAATTTAGGATGATTGGTTACAGACACTGTGTTGCATCAGTCAACCGCATCGATCAGCCGTTCAGCTTGTATTTAAAACTAGCCATGAACATTGTCTAATCCATTCCACCGTTTGATTATCTAACCATCTAACTTCCTTTTGTATTTTGTTTCCTAAAGCTTGCCTATTCGCTACTCAATCTTTCTCTATTCCTATTCACTCGTTCGTGAACAAGTATGAGTAGTTGGAATACATTATTGATTCTTTTTTCGCATTAATTGCATTCATCCTCATCAGATGTCAAGCCATCGTCTAATGCACCTGAGGTAGGAGGTTGGGATTAGAACCGAGCAGTTGGAGTCTGTGGGGACATGGGGAATATTCGATGAACTTCGTTGGGATGAGTGAATTGCTGGCCAGGGTCGATCAGACAAGTACTGTGACGAGGTTTGTATCCTTAATGAAAGGAGTGTTTTGGAATGCCGATCTTTTTGGATGCTGACATAATCATTTAGATCCAAGAGCAGTTACTGTGCCGATGATGAGTGGTTTTTTTTTTGAGGGGGGGGGTAGTCCTTTGACCAAATGGCTGAGTGGCATAAAACCATTAAAACTGTCACTAATTCTATCTGATAAAGAATAAAAAATACGCCGAGTTGAGTAGTAGTCCCGTAAGTAAAGGTAGTGAACCGTAACTTGGAATGATTCGTCGTGGTCCGATGCATCATTTGAGATCCTTCATTGCTGCAAACAATCAGTACTTTGATCAGTATCTGTGAACGTCTATTGATTCGAAGAATTATAAAAAATGTATCACTTTCCGGTAGCCTGCTCTACCACCTTATATTTTTTGCCCTGAAATTAATCGCTGTTTTGCCTGGTTGAACATTTGCAGCTATCCAAAGTTTTCCACCGTGACTGGAACTGAGAAAAGCAGTTCACGCAGGTGAAACGAAAATTTCAAACAAAATGCACACCCCCGGGATGTGATCTAGTTGGTGTTCTTTCAATCTTGGCAACGAATAACAAACGTTTTAAGTTTGTAAAACGAACGTTTTAAATAGATGGAAACTTCCCTGAGCAAAAGTTAACAAAGAACACAGTTTTATTTTCTCACCCTAAAAACAGATAACCACGCAAACATACCTGGACTAAATAAGTTTACCGTAGCCGCAAACTTGATGCTCGATTCACTGCTTATGATTTGAAGCTGATTTAGGGCTTTTCTGTTTTTCGTTATTATCATTCACAACCCAGAAGGAGCAACTTTCTGTTTTATTTTTAATTAAGCTTTGCCAATCTTTTTACGAAACTAGAATTTCAGTGCGGATAGTTTGCTTATTGAATAGGGTTTCTCGATCAAGCTCAATATCGTTGGTCAAATAAACAGTAAAATATTTGACTGTAATCTTCAACATATTGAACCACTGAACTGAAAATTCATTGGCAGTTTTTCAGCATATTATTCTGCTTTGTGACTTCCTTGATCGATTGTAACAACTAAGAGAAAATGGAGAGTCTTCTAAAAAAAAGCACATCCTGTATTGAAATTCCTTGGCAATTTTGCTTCTTTATTGTGTGCGATCACTGGATACGTGTACTTGCGCAATATACGGAAAAATCGAATTGTTTCTTGGAACAAGATTGACAACCAGTTCAGTTTTGAGTATGGCTTTTCTATCTCTATGTTAATTTAATAAGGCCACAATAGAGGGACCTCTGAGTTGTACTTCTCACCGGTCGAGCGCAGTCTAGCTGTCCCCTAGGTTTACACCACACCCGAAATATCAGTGATTTCTTGATTAAAAATGGCAGTCCTACAATCTTCATTCTGAACATTTGGACAGTTCACAGTTGCGTGTATATGCATGCGGTAAATAACCCCAACTGTAACGGGCGGTGGTTGCATACGACCTCAGTGTATGACCTCGATACAATGGAAGTTACAGGCATATACACAATTGTAAAAAGGGCCATTTACATCAGTCGCATTGTTACCGTGTCACATTGGAAACATCTGTCACTCATCGACACAGATCCTCGTCTAACGAAATCAATGAACAGCAGTGTTATGGAATGTGCACAGCAATCCTTAGTCAGTTTGTGACCACGACCTCGAGATTGAGAAGCACTATGATCTATGCTGCACCTGTACAGATTTTCAGAGTCATACAAAACGAGTAGCTAGTGATATATGGAATTTTCTTTCGAAGGAGTGACTTTGATTAATCAGATCACCTCGTGAATTACTACTGACCCCCGATAGCCATCACCAACAAATAATTTCTCATATCCAAGGTCGTTCTTTATAAGATCATAAACTTTTTTCGAAATCGTTGATTGCTTATTATAGAGCTTTTTTTCCCGTCGGATTGACAGTTCATCTGTCCCGTAAAAATAATCACATGAAATGATGTTCATGCTTTGGAGCAGGCAACTCTGGAAGGCATTTTTACTTCCAGTATCGAAACACGATGAGAGTACAAAGTGACAACCAAGCTCGTTTTCTGTGTTTCATAATCGATACTACATAAATATATGTAATATAACCTTAGATGGGAATTTAGGAAGGGAAAGGCGAAGTAATTTGCATGTTCAGAAAGGTGAGTCCTACTGGTTCCCCAAATACACGTTTTCTTTTCGCTGCCTTCCTAAATCCCTATACGTGATTAGTTCTATATATCGACGTCAAAACAGAGGGTCATTATAGAGCGTTCTTTATATCAGGCGAAATGAAATAAGTTGATGGCATACACATATACGCTGAAATAAAATACTATTTTCTTTGCTGTTGACCTACACTGGACAGTTCTCAGAGCCGTACAATGCATACGGACTAGGGTTCAGTCACGAAGCTGGAACTGAACCTTGAACCATAGCACAATCCCGAAGTCTGCAAGACTGCGAAACCTAGACACCAAATCACTGAACACGCAGAGACGGAAGCCTCCGGACGAGGTTGGATTTGGACAGTGCAGCGTTCTAATTGCAATTTTGTTTTTTATTCTTATTTTGGGAACATAGCATATATCCACATGAGAAGTTTCAACCGCTAAGGCAGCTCGTTAACCAATCTCACAGTGTGTGCGGATACTAAACGCGGTTGGGTGAATAGGGCATGCCGTTTCAATTATTCCGCTGTTCTTTGAATTTCCCTTCCTTACTAATCAAACTCAGAGTTCACATCCCGAGTGGAGTAATCAGGAGACACCTTGTGTGTCATGTTTGAGGAATGATGAGCTAGACAAATTGGTCGCATATGTGCGAAAGAATGGCTAATTGGTCTCTCTGAGTTAATTAATATATTACATTTTTAGTGAAATAATCGCATCGGTGTGAAATCAAATGGGACCTGTGAAGCAGTTTCCATTAAATGTTTCCCATCAAGTATTTACATTTACATTTGTGGTTCAATTAGTCAGGATTTTATTGAACAGCGCAACGTGGTTTGTAATATGTTCTACTAGTGATCAACTAAAGTGAGACTGTATAAATCCAATAAGGGAGTTGCATGAAGAACATAAGCACTAAAAAACTTCTTTGCCTCGAAATGGGAAAAATGTGAGAAAAATATTAGTAGCTTGCAACGGGTCAGCAAGGGCGTAGGTCTTCACACGGGAACACGGGTTGTACCTCTTAATACCAGGGTAAAACTAGTGCATAGATCAAGCGGCACAAATCTGGTTTCTCTATTCAAATTTATATTGTCTCTGCGGTTTCCACAATCCTCTTAACTAACCCTTTTGTGCGTATCCTTGATGTTACACCGAAGTCTTGAACGCTGTTATTTAATCATTTGATCTGTCGACTTCGTATAATATGATTCTGCTATCCCCACTCTTTTCTAACCCCTAGGTAGAGCAGCTTGGCAATACAAAGCTGCTATTTTAAAAAGCTGCCTAGCTGTATGTACACTGATAAAACAAAAATATGGGGTAAATGAGTCATTTAAACTTCTGAGTAATGCATTTTCGGTCTTTGACCAGAATCGAAAGTGAGATGCGGAAAATAACTTGGTGACCACTTTTGTTAAACGGCTCTACAGGGTTTTCCGCAGTTACCTTTTTCGACTGCAACATTACTAAAAAAACTGCTCATTTAGCCGTTCGCCTCTTCATGTGGTTTTAGGTACCGTTTAAGTCTAGTCGAAACAATGAATGTCTCTATTTTCCCGAATGGCGCTTATTGTGTGGCTCAGTTGTCTATCCACCTTTTCCGCAATAAAAACCCCTCTGGCACCGCTGGCTTGACAGCTCAACAAATTTCGTCTGTTACAAAAAAGAACGTCACTGACTAAGTTTGTGTTGTTTTATCCAAGCGTCTCTATGAAATGTTCGCTCTAAGCGACTTTCTGTTCGAGTAAGTCCTATATCAAACACTATGAGAATAGCATCCCCTGGGTGAGTGCGGTCAACTGATTCTAGGAGTTTGCGAATATACAGTCAACGGCTAACGTATTATCCATTTATCTGGATGATAAAATGTACCCTTCAATGGCTCACGTTCGACTTCAACTGAATGCGAATCTACTAGGGGTGATTTGAGTGCTGATACCACAGCAATAACATTTTCTGTCTATAGAACTTCGGATAGCTCATTCCACATACACTTCTGCATCATTATTTTCCCATAATGATATTGGGTAGGTCTGCCTAAATGAGCCTATTATGCTAGATTTAAATTATTATTCAACTCACAGCCACTTATGAGAAACGACTGGATCAGATTTCATGGGCATCTCTCGTTTGGAGCTAACTGTCTTCGTTTTAAATCTTGGATTCACCCATTCGAATCCCAAACAGAACGAAGCAGCTCTTCAGTGCGCTTTATCGGTTGTCACAAACCTTTCCATCGCATTTACTGTCTTCCTTTGTTAAATTCAGACTGCAGTGTATTCTTCCACCCTCTTCGCCCTAAACCAAAAAAGCTGGAGTACATGAACTAGTATTTTGAGGTGCACACGTTGGGTCATAATAACTGAATGACAGTCGTTTCAACCATAACCAATATACAAATTGAGTTGAATTTGCTTTGGTTCAATGGAATCAAGGAAAATTTACATCCACGGTTGGGCTGGAAATAATGCCGGTCATTCTTTCGACATAATCCTCAAGAGCGATACTCGTCAATACGCTGCCAGAGCCTGACTAAGAATCATTGAGAACAATTGTTTTTCCTCAGTCTTGCTTCTAAAGTTTCATCGTGGGAATAGTTGAAATAATCAAATTAATCGAAAACGCCAGTGGTGAGAATAAAAGATAGTAAATAAGAAATCACTCATGGCTGTATATCACCAAAGTCATTTTGACTTTTGAACATACGGATATTTAGTTTCATAATTTTGGAAACGGTCCATGTGTAGCTTATTTTCCTTCCTGTTCATATGCTTGATTCCATTCAATCATGGTTTCAGCCCCTTTGAAAGTGTGGGCACAGGCCACCTTCATATACGCGAGCTGCGCGCCGAGGACGCCGGATTGTACGAATGTCGAGTGGTTCAATCGAGTTCGGTCTATGTGGTTCTCCGTTCGTCCATTGCCCTAGCTGTCGGTCAGGCACCACAGCTGATTGGTCCAATGTCGCACAGTGTGAGCGGACATATACAGGTTAGTATTCGAGCTGCGATTCAATTCATACTGGAGTAATGAGTGAACTTTCGGGGTTTTTCAAAACTTACGGAATCCTTTCTATAAAATAAAATGAACTACTTGGGAAAAATTGTCTATTGCTGGCTGTTGGTCTATTCATTGTAATTTTCCCGTTATTTTTGTCTCGAGTTGATCATATTCATTTGAGTGAATAATTGACGCGCAAAATTTGTCTTCAATTCCTTGCATACAACGCGTTTATGAGATAGTTGTCTATAAGTATGCAAAGTGTAATCATTATTCTTAAATGCTCATTTATTCCTCAGTTCGTTGCAACTCGGATACAAAAGTCTAATAATCACCATCAGGATACGACAGTGTGATAGATGTACAGCCAGTTTTGATTCCATCAGTGATCATGGAATCGCAAAGCGAATTTCCTGTTTGTCACTTGACTATTATAACCCACTTGTATTGTCATCACTTGCCATTGCAAGCCTAGCTCGAAGTGAATTTACCCTTCGAACGGGAACAAAGGTGCGCAAGCTATGGGAGCTTGTCATGCCACAAATTTATTTTGCAATTCAAAAGTGACGAACTTTCATTTTTTATTTGGTAGACAGTCTTACGGGCAAACGCTGATAGACACTACAAAATAAGAAACGTTTATCAAGGAATTAGATCAAACCGAAATCAGATGTGCCACCACGTCAATTGAATAATGCACAACGTTCCAAAGTACTAAACCATAATGTGTATCTGGTGGTACGAATGCAACCTCATGAAGCAGATGTTATAATCGACTCATTTCCATCCAGATAACGTCCGGCGCCAGTGAGATATTATTCTGTCGAAACCGCGAACAATGTGTAAACACTGCACCGAGGTTTGTGATTTTTCATGCCCTTGGGTTTTCGACCAACTGTATTTTACACAAACCCTGTTTGACCACCGACAGTGGGGTTCCAAAAGAAAATATCATGCCTGTGTTCTGGGATCCAACGATTTTTGAGGAAAAATAAAGCGTTAGCATCACTTGTGAAATAAACTGGTTTTCTTTCTAAGACAATATAGGTTCCATAGAGGAGGAACCGTATCGTCTAACCAACTGGAATACAATTTATTTTAACTATACAACTAGGAATAGTGGTAACAAATGGTCAAACACCTCATGGTATATGGTGCGTTACGTTGGGCCTGCAGGTAAAGTTTTGTTTATTCCAACGAACAAAATAAAATGCACATTTGATTTTAAACGACCAATCATTGTCTCCAGTCAGCGAATGAAAACACTTTGTAGTTTTTCTGTCAGCGTCATGTCTTCGAAATTCCCATCTTCCGAGAAACACAGCTCTTTCCCACTCTGTGCATGCCCCCATCTTGTCATCCTCATCAGTCTCATGCACAAGATGCCGACGACAGTTCGATAGATATCTGTCTCCATGGAACCCTGGTTCTGTTATTCAGCAGTACTACTTCCTAATATTTGGAAACACATGGAGCACTATTTCTGTCCTCGCGACTTCTCATCCGAATCTTAATACCTGTTAGATGTGAAACAAGTAATCGGGTTCTGCCATACAGGTACCTCCTTCAAAGTATATTATGAACTATGATGTTCACATACAATGCTGTGATTAACAAGTGCATAATGCATGGAAAATCACTGAGTTATTCACTCCAGAACGCCTATCAGCTTTTTACGACACTTTGATTCCTAGTTCTGTATTCCAGTTCACAATAATGACTCATGGTTTTCACTTGTCTTTCGGTGATTCACTGACTTGGGCTTCGTTAGAATGTCCTACGAGTTCTCGAGTGACATTAGAAACACACGATCTGGGCACAGATGGTTTTGATAATTTCACTCTGAATCTATTACGATCATCCTAATTCATGTTAATTATCTGATCAATCAACTGACTGATTTCATCTCATCCCATCGTATATTTTTTATCGGAAACATCTGATTGTATTTCATATGACTTTTTAAATAAAAGCAAGTGTTCACCTGCATTGTGTTTTTCTATTTTTGCAACAATCCATATGTTTGGTGCCCGGGTGAACCAACAGAATTTATTCAGCAAATTCAATCACAAGCGTTGAGCTTCAGTCATCAGAAAATGAAACATCATCATGGAATACTGAATTTTTGTCGAGCGCAGTTACAGAAAGATAATGGCTCGGTTTTCTGTTAAGACTCCGCCAGCTTATCCCACACCGTTCTTTCCGAAATCCGGTACACCCGAACTGAACCTTAGCATATTCCTCTACTCCCTGTTTGAGAATTATTACAAAATTTCCATCAGCTTTCCACAGTTTTGTCCCAAGGTAAATTAGTTTGCTACATTTAGATTAACTTTTTTACTTTTACAACTGAAAAAAAATTATGAATAATAGTTAATTAGATGCGAAATCTCGGGCTTCCGACCCTCTATCATCCACCTTTTATTAGATTATTTGATTTCTTGTAGCTTAGTCGAAGGTAAAGGTTTGATTCAATGTAGCTTGATGGAAGCACACTTTGACCTCATTTGTTATTCATAAAGCTTGGAACCGAGTCGTTCATGTATGCTGGTTTTCCAGATTCGGTTTTATTCTTGCCTTTCCTTACAGAAAAAGCTCGTTCGAGTGACACCACTCACTTAACTATACCTGATGTGATTTCATAATTTACCGATCAGAAGAGAATGCATTTGGTGCTTTGTTACAATGCAAAACAATTGCGTTTAGAATGATACAGATACACAGATATGGCTGTCTAGAGTGACGCGAGTGTCTTATCTGATTTTTGAATGTTTTTATTATCAGACTGGACAAACAGCATCACACGGAGCACGGCTATTTGGAGGGAGGTAGGGGATGCTGAGGAGTCGAAAGAATTTTCAAATAGTATTTCCCATTCGCGATTGGGATCGCAGCAACCTAGAGGCGTCCGTCCAGCAGACCAGTCGGGCGATGACGATGAGAACGGCACTTGATGGATGACACATCTCTCTCATGTAACAAAACATTCAAGAATTAAAACTCATTACCCTAATGGGGACGTAAAAACGGAAAATTTTGGAATGGTCACTGAATAGAACTGTATTCTCCGTGAGTCGAATGGGTGAATCACGCGAAACAAGAGCACAATAATGGCTGAGAGACTGATAGATGACCGGAAGACTGGCGGATAATAGATTGTACTGATTTCTGCCCGCAATGTGTCCTGTGTGACTGGCAAACCCAAAGGAATTTGTTAACCAAATGACAGGCGTATAACGCGCGTTCAACTTTGTTTAGCAACAGGGTCACTGAAGTTGTGGCCAAATATTCTTTGAACACCTACTGACAGTATTTTCTTGGTTCAATATCGTAGAAGCGAATGTGGGTAGGAGGGACAAGCCATTTCTCAATGCCGTCGATCGCGCGCTTTCTCAGATTTTCAAATGGCCGAATGCATTTGATTGATGATGCATTCAATTGACTGAAAAAAATAAGCATGAGTGATTAGGTTGAACTGTTCCTCTTGGCACAGCATTCTCATCGGTAAAGTGTCAAGGTGTGTGTGAACTGCATTGTATTATGTACAATGAAGTCCGTTATTCAGGAAAGAACTTCAGCATCCTGTAAATTTCTCTTGCAGGAACAGCATCATGTGCTTTTCTATTTCGCCCGTTCGCCGAGCTTGGTAATTTGTTTGCAAACGTTTCATCACCAGCCGAGGTGACATCATCAGTGCTTGTAAAGTGACCACCATGCGTGAAGCGCACTCCAAATCACAGTCACCACATGAAGTCAGTCATCCATTCGATGCACGTATCAAGTTATAATGAGCTGCGGAGGTGTTGAGCCAAGTGAACTTCAATCACAGAGTCTGAGCTCGACGTCTCTGATCCGTGAATTCAACATCGCATTCTCACTCGCTCACTCATTACCAAAAGAAACCACTCTCGGATCTATTTCAATGGGTGATTAAAAAATATTTAGTGTTCAGACTCAAGAAGGTGATAGATAGTCAAATAAAAGAGAGTTTTATAGGCATCTTATAGATCCTGTAGCTGATATAAATCAAAGTAAGAGTAACAAAACTTCTACAAAGGGGAAAATAGTAATTTCTGAAACTGAGCCCTCATTCTTCAGCAGACACACAGATGTATATGTGTATACTCTCAACAGATGTCCATTTCTAGATCGTTTGATGCTGGACATATTTTTTCTCCATCCCAACCATATTTTGGCACACCAAACTGATCTACTGTCGTTCCCATTGTTCTACTAGCTTTGGATTTCAACACATTTTATTATTCGCAAATCTTCACAGCAACTTGCCCTGTCGTCTGTATAGCATACCTTGACAGCCGAAAGCAGCAGATAAACTTCTATCAGCCTTGTATCACATGCTGATGTCTTTGATTTGGCTTGGTAACGTATCCCGGGTGATGGTAGGCGATTGAAATTTCGACTGTACTGTAGGTATCTTGCACGTACGAACGACGCAGACTGATTGGATGGAGGCCAGGTCTATTGAAAACATTGTGAATGTGGGGAAGATTATTTGATAAAAACAGAATAATTTCAGGATAATAACATCACCAAGGGAAGACTTACTTATATCACCGGCGTAATTCAAAAAAAAGACTTGCAGGACAAGGATCAAATATTAGTGAGGTAAATTAAGAAAGCGTACATCAAAATTACCCATTTAGGAGAGCCCCAATACTGTTTATTTGTCAGAATTGCTCTACAGAGACTCCTTGTCTCTGGTTGCTATACCAAATGTGACCTGCGAATACGAAATTAATATGATGTGTTCTGTTTCCCACATGAACTTAAGGTTGTTCTCGATGAACGATCCACTGGTTACACAAAGCAATTCTAATATTCAACCCAATATGGATGGTGTGAGCAACCCCAGTGAGGAATTCACTGTTGTAATATCTATCTACTGTGAAGTAGGTGCCTGGTGAAAATTATGTGCGACAGACGTTTTCAAAGTCAGCTACTATTGGTTAAAGCTCATTGGGCCGATCGATCAATTGATAATTTGGGCAGGATTTTATTGTAACGAAGACTAACCCGAAGGGCAAAGTTGAAGCAGAATATAAATTTAACCGGCTTACGTGACTTTAGAGCTCCACCCCCAGCCAGGGAATGTTGAATCGAATACACAATTCCCCAATTCGTCTCCGCGTGATGGAACCAAATGTATTCTCTCGTCTTGTCATCAACGAGAATAGCAGAATCGATGCGGTTTTCAAAGGAACTGACTTCACTTCATAGTGAGCAGGTGTTGGGTGGGATGGACGCAAAGTCCAAATAATTATTCGAGCAAATAGTTTCGAGGGGATTGTGTGACCTCATAAATCTAAAGATACATTCGTTATACTTTGCATATATCACATATGCAGAATAAAGAAAATTGGATCTGATCAAACAACCTGGAACGAATTGTTTCTGGATTATTATAACGATACTGAAGCCATAACTGTACTGAGTGAATCGCCGAAGGTGTTAAAAACTGGTTAGGTTCTAACAGCGGTCTGCTTTTTTCATTCTGACTCATTTGTTACAAGAGCTCTTAAATTCACAGTACATCCATTGAGGTTATTCTGTATTCCTGTCTACTTTTGGTCCTGTATTTATTTAAGTCATCGCGTTTTACATTCGCTTACTTTTCCTTACCATCTTTTGTCATCATTGTTATACCTACTAAGGACATAAGCGTATCCTCATTTTAAAGAAATGGCTTACTTAACTCTTCACGTGACTTTTCTCCTGATAATGTGGTAGTGCTGAACCTAATTTAACGCGTCTTATGTGCACACACACATACGCAAATAACAACCAAAGGCTAATTAGTTATTCAACCAGTTCTGCGCTTTCCATTTGTCCCCCCATCCAGGCTGAGAGAAATATGTCTTGTGCATTTGTGGCGCAACCGGAGGCGTTGTTTGAATGGGTCAAAAACAGTGAACCGGTTAAGCATAGTCAATATTTCCGTATCAGGCCTCTGATGACAACGGGACCAAGTGGACAATCCGGTGAACCAACCAGAGGGATGAATCAATCCGGTTGGCCCCTTCGTGGAACCGAGCTCAGTATTCGTGGCCTATTGCCAAACGATGAGGGCTACTTTCAGTGCTTTGCTATCAACCGGTAAGTATTAATCTTTTGCCCAATCCTCACTAACTGAGAGTCACAAAATATGCGTATTTATGCAAATAAGGAATGTTTCCAGATGATTTACCGTTGAAGATGGTACATTTACCGCATTTGAACAAAATATATTTTAGTTATTTTGTTTCTATGTTTCTGTGCCAAATTAGTAAAAATATTGATAAGAAATGAATTCATTTAAGTTCAATCCTTTAAAAACCTCTAAACCATCAAGGGGTTGTATTGCTTCCGGTTACTCTTCCTTGATGAAAGCGTTGACCCAGTACACATGAAGAGTATGATGACGCAATGATAGGTAGATATGCGTAAACAAACCGGAAGGATGCCAAGTGTCTTTGATAGTTTAGGTTAGAAGTATCATAGTACCTACCTTTCCGATCCTGATCACTCTGAATTGAAGACGTTCGCCGTTTATCTGGACTTGACAAACAGTTTTAAAACAAAATCACACAAAAATGTGGTTTAATTGCGGATGACCATCACACTTGGGTTTTATTATAAATGAAACCCCCTGAATGACTGCACCGTAGTTGCTTGCATTTTACATGAATGAAACAATATCGAGCCCTAATGTGTTCATGAAAAGGAAGGAAATGTAGTCAGACAACCTGTCGTTGACATCCTAATCTGAGCCGTGCAACTGAGGCTTAAGACATGAGGTTGCCCTAGAATCTTGCAGAAAATAACTTATTCACTAGAATTGGTTGAAAAAGTTCATCTGATTGGATTCAAAACTTGCTGCATTTGAAAGAAACATAAACACAACTCTAGTTTGCTATGGATTTAACCCCGAATTGTTAACAATGTTGTTGGTTAGTCGTCAAACGCCTCCAAAGTCCAATACCTACTGCATTTCCGGAGCATCTTTATCGAATTCTCTCATCTATTCTGAATAGCAGTTGTAGTCACCAGGTAGAGATTGGGATAGGGCCAAACACAACCTTGAACTTCAATTAGATGTTCTGCTACACAAGGGGTTCTTCCTATAAACGGCTGACACATTCCTAAAATCGAAATAAATCAAGCGTTCCCACAAATCGAAGGGAAGCAATCATACAGGCAGTTGTGGTCCCAGTCAACCCGCCCCCCACCTAGCGTGCCACTCAACTTCATTTAACGTCTTTTGTTCGATTTCGGTTTGCCTTTTCCTCAGTTCTCTCTCACTCTAGTTCCCTTTGTTTGGAGTTTCACTTGACTTCGTTTTATTTCGACACTATTCGCAGTTTTATGGGCTGATTCATCAATGGTGTGGGTTTCTTATGATCATTCACACAAGAGCTCCTGTCTGTGTTCTTATCTGTGTTTGTGTGATGTAGATCGTCCTCAAAAAACATCAGAAGCTGCGTAAAGAATTCGAGCAACGGTAATTTTCGACAAAACTTTCGCTAAATCACGTTACGACGTTCTATGCTTATAACTAGTTTACAGAATAAATTTGGCAATTTTTGCATTTTCCATTTCCTATATGTTCAACGTACACAAGTGTTATCCATAGATTCCTGGGCAAACCGAAAACCGAATCTGATCGGGAATAAGTAGTGTTTTCCCGCATCTGTTCGACTAAACGCTCTCTCTCACACGTTACACGAACATCGCGTATAAGGCTTGCGTGTTCCAAATGAAAGATTTTCGCGATTACCTGATTCGATTGTTCACAGAGCTGTCAACGATTTCCATCTGTTCAAATCAAGGTGTTATTAGTCGCCATGGAAAAAATAATTCCCTTTATATGAAAAGCATTCCTTATCTCTGGTGCGTGACTTTTCATCCATCTGATTGGTGAACTTTGTGAATTTGAAATCCACCTGGGACTTAATGGGAATAATCAATAAGATGTAAAAGTGAAATTCCATGTCAGCACATGGATTTCATTGGCCGGCTAATAAAATATGCATTTTCTCTTGAGAGGACTCAATCGTATCCAGAAGTAATATTGTCTAATCTGGAAATCAATAATGAAGATCATCAGGCTGGGATGAATTCAGTAGAGAAAACTACATTCGTGAACCACTGTCATGCAATTGTAGACAGGTGCGATAGGATCCAATTGGATTTAAAGTGAATCTTCTACTTGGGTACTTCAAATCAGGATATGCATGCAGTCAAAATTATGGCTTAAGAACATCTCATAATAATGGAAATTATTGGAATGGACTGGACAGGATATTTAACCTAAACCTTGGCGTCACTAATTCGATTCCAGACAATCGAAAATTTGAACAGCATTCAATTCTGGGAATTGTTTTTGGTAAAATATAACTTCCCAGCACATTCCACGTCCACCAGCAAAAATTCCAAATTCAGCATTTGATCATCCCAAACGCTTCATATCTGGACCACACAGAACATCCACGAAAGTGAGATCCCACGTTAAAGGAAAACTTTTTACATAAAAATGATAATCTTTTCTCCACTCCTCCATATTTTTACTACGGTAAATGGGTGGCATTTTTCCAAGTATAACCAGACGCCATCATGGCACAACCACTTAGTCGGCACTTTGCAGACACGCTTGGGAGGATGGGGCAACATCAAGGATTGGAAACTGTTTTTTTATCCGAAATGAAAACCCAGTGGACACAAAATCAAAGATCCGGAAACAACTTTCCGATCGCCGCATCTGCGTGTACGAATTTGCGTGTGCGTAAGTGGCAGATAGTGGTCAACACTGTCGCCACAATGCAAAAATCACGTCATTTTTCATTCCTCTCTCGTTTTGTTGCTGTGCAACCACTAATGTCGCATGTGTCGAGGAAGTTTATGTTGCTACTGCTGTTATTTCACCATTCTCACTTCTCGATTACCCGGTCCACTACGAACGTCCAGGCCGTCCTCTTCTTCCTTCAACTCNCAAGCGTTTCATCCCCTCCGTGTTTGCCTGAGTTTATAATACGTCCGTTTTGCCTATTTGCTAAAACAAAAACAATTATCTTGATCCTGATCAACTCCTACGTTCTCTTATTGAAACACACACTGATCCTAATCTGTTCCCTTTGGATTAGGTTTGGCTCAGCACAAGTAACGTACACATTACGTGTAGATGGTCCTTTTCTGATTGGCTTTCGTACTCCCGACGGTAAGTAACCCCCGGAGAAACAAGATGTTATGCATAAGTCTGCAATTTCAAATGATTTTGAACTATTTCACCAGTTTGCTAAACTTTCCACAGTTTCCATTACTCTTCTATTTTTCTGTTGATTTGACTAGCTATGCAACATGATACATGGGTTTCTGTGAGTGGGAAGAAAATCACATGATTCTCAGCAGTGAATAATAAACCAAACGACAAATTTTCAGACATTGCGTCAATCCTCTATGTGAACTAATCTTTCGAGTTGAGTACAGACAAAATAATTACCTAATATCGACTGAGAAAGTCTACATTTTTTCCTTACACATCACTGAACATTTGATTGAATTAACCGCGGATTCACCAGGGTATATCAGTCACTTCAGGCAACTGGTGACTATGATTTGAAGAGGCTAGTCGCAGAAAGTCCAACAGAATGAAATCAAGCCTGACAAAAGCGAATCGGATAACCAGCAGTAGAGGCATTCGGTTCACCTAATCAGGATCTGACTGCTTTTGATGTCATCCATCTATTTAGCTGATGTGCAGTTTGAAAGACGCATCATGTCCTATACCAAATCTGTTGCGATATTCTATCATTCAGTGCTCATACTTTTGTTTCATTCTTCCGCATCGTTGTTATATCATATACAAAATTTCGAGGACTAGTCAATCATTATTTAATTAAATGTGAAATAGGTGTTTTAAGACAATTTATTTGGATACCGAGGCCAAATCTGTCAGTTAAACGACTAAATGGGTTGCTGACCAAATTGGAGTTCATGAAAAAAACATCAGACGAAACGTTACGCAAGGTTCGTCTGAATCCATGTACTTTATCAGAAATAGGACTGCCGGTCTCTCCCACAATTTGGATGCAGTATTATGCTCCAAGCGACTATGTATATTGTAGTATGCAGGACCGACTCCAGTTTTTAATCCACTCAAAATACACCGGCAGATTGATTCCGAGCAGCGCAGTCCGAGTTCTTACAAAAAGGTCATACAATCCCTGGCCACTAACTGACGCTCTCAATACACACGTAGGACACACTTCTCGCAGTAGGTTCTCCGTAGAGGGGGCTCGCAAACAACCCGCAAGACAAGGAAAATACAAAAGCAACCATGAACCAAAAGGTCCAGTGAGACATGCACACGACTCACAATCAAATCAAAGTGGCTGCGCCCGTCTTCACTAAAATACACATATATACATATAAATCGTGTCTTGGTCTGCCAAACAAATCACGATGCAATAATCTCCAAAACAAACAAAAAAGTTCATGATTTGTACTGCTAGGTGGTGGGATTTATCTCTGAAGCCTTCGGTTAGCAAAAGCCTGACCCGCAAAGCAGCGGGGTTGGATGGGGAAATCTTAATCTACTAGGACCGCTAATTGAATCACTCACCCATGGACGTTGTGCAATATGCGATGCCCATTTGAGCAGCTAATCACTGCCACAACCAGGAAGGTGTGAATGTGTGTAGACCGTACACTTCTCCTTGGTTAAATTAGAATCTGCTTTTACGTTCAACTTCAATGGTTCACAAATCCTGTTATAGTTCCGGATATTAGGTTTTCGTCCTGTCACTTTGGTGGGGAAACACATCCTCCATTTGGAGGCCTTGAGTATACCTTCCTCAGCAAATGATATTTAAGGCGCTTGGTTGTACAGGAGCATTTCGTGAGGTTCTTGAGAACGGTGAGTAGCCACAATCCAAGACACCCACTCGCGACCTTACTGAAGCTTTCAGAGGATAAACACTCAGACTATGATGCTACTTGTGAAAGTGATATAGCATAATCCATCATTTTTAAGCTTACAGTAGTTATCGAATACCTCCATCTACCTCTTTTGTACTTCCTTTGTTACTCTGAGGTATGCCGATTATGTGGTTATTAGTTTCCCATCATCTATTGCATAACAGGCGAAAAAACTATACGATTTGTCCCGACACCGCACCATTGTGCTTAATTGACATGAGCGAATTTGCTGATTTTCTATCCTGTCTCAAAACATTCAACAGTCACCTCAGTTTTGTTATTAATCGACAGAACATTGTAAATCTGACCCTGTTGTACAATTTTTTGCATTGAAATTCTCCCTACACTATAATATTGAGTTAATTTTTGTTGACCTTCCTCATATTAATAGATATATCCACTGTGTAAATTTGTTAACTGATGAGAATTCACCCTTTGGATGGCTAAGAGGTTCGGTTACTTTTATTGGCTGTATTTTATAGCATTTTTCTTCACTATTTTCGCTCACAAAGACAATCCGAAATTAGCTTCTGGATTTTCAGAACATCAAAAGATACAAGTCAGCCAATACTGCTCAACAATGGAGTGAAAATAACTGTTGAATCTATCTGCGATGTTTTTATTGTATATCCTAACAGAAGGTACTTTCATTTGACTTTCGTTTGAAATCGGAGTACCTTATTTCCGTATGATGTTCCAGTAATCCTTTGATAACACAGTCTTCTTCAGTTGATTCAGGTTATCGTATATGTTTGGGGGTATTTATTGCGACCACTGTATAACCTTTCATCAATCCACAATGATTTTTTAAATGTATCATTCTTATACAGGAGATGATCAGCATCCCGTACTCATGGCACCAAGTCATGCGACCGTTCAGGCTTTGAGTGATACACAAGCGTACATTACTTGGACTCCTCCAGACCCCACATTGGGAACTGATTCTCTTAGTCCCAATGGTTACATGATACGACTAACAACCCCAGGATCATCACAGTAAGTCCAGACGTTGCGTATCAGAGCTGGTTCAATTATTGTTCACTCTGGTGCTCATTCGAGATTACTCTTTATCTAACGTTCACAAACTTTACCATTCTGTAATCTTTCTTTAGCCAGTTATAATGCAATACTTATTATGACCCCAAGCGGAAAATCGGTATTATTCATCGTCTTATCAATCTGTAATTCATCTGTTCAAATACTCTTTCACACCACCTCTCTAATTAGCTAATTCTACTGCAAAATCCTGGGTTGATTGTTGGCCTCTCTTGACAAACCCTACACACATAAAGACCAACTGAGCCATGATTGGTAGTCAGCATTCTACGTGCTTGAACTTGAGCTACTTACTGGATTGAGGAAACCCACCACTCAACAATAGTGCGTCACCACCGGAGAAATTGGGATTGGAATTTAAGTAAAATCTTGGAGAAGTTCGCATCAGCTGGTGGTGGTTCAATCGGTTAGTTACTATCACCGGCGTGCTTTTACCCCATTCTCTAAGGTACTAACCGTACCACCGCTATCCAATCTTAGTGATATGCGGCTTTACTGTCGTTCTTCTCGTACCACGCCTATCCTAGAGGGACCTTATGTGATTCGCCACTCCAAGTACGGGACCTTAGGTTGCTGGTTTCTATCGTTGAATAGCAGGTCCTTGCGACTATGGGGTTCACCCCGCCTACTGTTCACCACATGCAATGCGTAATAAAATATATACCATTCGTCATTGTATCCAGTTTCACAAGTACATTCTGCTGTAGCTGATTGAATTGTTCGGCGGGGATCGGTCAATTAATTAATGGTAGAAGTACTGCACATGGTGCGCCTTGGTAACATACTACGGTATCTCAAATAAGGGCGTGTTTTTGTTTCCTGATTTACGCTCGTCTGTCGTTAGGTTCATTTCCATTTAACTTTTCATCTTCCATTTGTTCACTATGTTATTCGTTTGTTTCACTAGTCTTCAAGTTAGGTTGTACCCACATATCCAATTTCTAATAGCTGTTGGCTTTGGGATCACGAAGGGAAACTGAGTAATCAGAATTGAGTCAAATCTGTGAAGTATAATATCTAGTTTGACACATGAACAATGAATGTTTTCGGTTCGAAAGAGCCTATCCCTGATGGATTTTTATCACAAACGGACACGCATAACTACAACACCAGCTCCAGTGAACCTCGCATCGTGCCGCTAAATCAGGTGTGAGGCCACACAAGGGCCTCTCGGAACTTGTTAAATCCGCCCATCGATGTTATTCAAATCAACGTCCATGGAAAAAACTAATCGGCATGTATCTTTTCCGATTGCCGGGTTGGTATCCCTCTAAGTCATTTCGAAAATAAAGTAATATTTTCGGCGCACACATCCAATCATAATCACTTAAACAGGCTTCATTTTCTCTCACTTTTAATTATCTCCTGTTCGTACAAAAGAACTACGTTAAACCAAAAATTCGCATAAGTTAAAAAGCCGCCGTTTCAAAATAATATTGGTTCTTACAATTCAGTATGACACTAAGAAGTTAGCAGTTAATGGTGATTGTATACCTCCTCCTGTTAGTTGAAGAAAGGATTAAACATGATTGCTACTCCGGTGCTTGCATTTCGTCTTGTGGTGATGACTAGGTGATAAGCCGTTGTGAGAGGACGTATACTACGGTAAAATTTACAGTTTACAGTCTCTTTCCTGATGTACGATATATTCTTCCGTTGACCCCGGAACCAATTGCAACATATACCAAATGCCTTTCATCTGATAAGAATGTTTTCTCCTCGAAGATTGAAAAGTGCAAAGGAAAAACTGTTCAAACAGGCACTGGTTTACGCACCCGACGAGAGTGAGAAATGCGCATCTAAGTATCGTGAACCGTGTGTGCATGTGTCTGTAGGACTCCCACTACGCCTTTCTCTTCTCTCACATACATATAGACACACCTCATCATTCTCACCAACTGTGACAATAAGAAATGTCTATCCACAAAGTGAAAGCCGAACGGACCACAACCATAGTGTATTATACAACAGTATTTGTTCCGCAGTTTCAAAAAAATAGCTGTCTGAATTCGCCTTCGAAACAGGACAAGTAAGACACTGGAACAAAGTTCTCATCAAACCTTAGGCAAACCAAACTGTGGACAGTACTATAACGTTTAGTTTCACATCAATCCCCAAATCCTCTCTATTTGTGGACGTGGATGAAACGGGAAAAAAATTCGCAGCTGACTTGATAAAGTTAGTCGACTGAAAGCCTACTTGTCCAGACGTGACAGGTGAACAAGAGGCCAAAAATGTTTCAATTGTTTGTCTACTGATGATGAAAGTGCTAATCTAAACACACATATGTCGACATATACCTCAGATCAAGCAAAGAGGAAGGCACACGTAAACTCGAGCTAACAAGGACATTGTTTATTGTTCTGTAATTTGCTTTTGTATTGGAAGCTGATAGGTGTGTGCGCGCGCGTACGTGCGTGCGTGCGTGCGGGTACAAGTTGCTCTAACAGCCGGTGCTCTCCCTCGTCCCATAACCCCGATCCAATCACCAATCTTAGATTTTACACCTATGGATAGAAGGTGTCATCTACATTTTTGGGTTGTTGCACCCTGCGAGATGTGCGATATTTTATCGGGAATATGTGAATATATGCTCACCCGGACAATACTTGTACACGAAAATCTGACTTATTTACACGATTCCCATTTGATTGTCTCAGTTGTATTTTCTCCTCACAACACACTCGGGCTGTTGGAACAATGTCTATAGACATGTCACGTGAGAGGAGACAATCAGAAATAAAATAATTTCGTCGTTATCTTACCTAAATCCCACTGAGTCATGATTTCTTACCTGATGCTTTCGTGGATCAAATGGATTGTCAGTCGAATCTCATATGTTTGCAACTCGGTTGCTCCATGCTCAAAGTTGAGGTGGTTCCCATTAGGACAGGCTTAAGAATTATCTTCTAACTTTCTTATAACTCGGAATGGGTCATATTGGTAGTATTTTTCCTTTCAGCTTATGAGTTCGACACATATAGAGTTCATATCACGAAGTAAACGTTCAAGATACACTATCAAAGTCAAAGTCAAAGTTTTATTATGGGCGATTTAACAAAGCTAAAGCTTATCACGCCCACTAGGATTTTTACAGAATCTTTTGAATAACTTCACAAAAAGAAAATAGCTATGATAATAAGATGCATGATCAATCACGGATGTTGAAATTTTAAGCGTTTCAATGCTTTATCAGGTTGGGATTTAAAGAGTTCAACTGTAGGAGCACACACTACATCAGATGGTAGAGAATTCCATTTGCCGCACACTCTGATTTCAAACGAGTGATGCCGGCAATCAAGGTGGCTGTTCTGGGTCTTCACCTTTAGTGGATGTCCCCCGAGATGATCATTCATTATGAGATAAAGTCAGCATAGAAAGGCAAGGGCGGTTGGGTTGATGCTGAATGTGATGCGCCAAGATTAGGTCCCTCCGAAGTCGGTGGTATTGGGATGAGTAGAGTCCCAAAATTTACAGACTTTCGTAGTATGTCTTGATATACAGACCTTTTACCGATTTCGTTGCCAGCCTTTGCGGACGTTCTAGAGCCTTCCTGTCGCGGTTT